AAAAAGTTATTCCACAAGATTACTTCACTACTACATAAATTGTTAAACCTACAAGTAACATGCACATTTTTAGAACACATGTACATCACATTGAACACAGTAGGCAGTAGGTACGGAAAGTATTCAGACCCCTTTAAATTTTTCATTCTTTGTTTTATTGAAGCCATTTGCTAAAATCAATAAGTTAATTTTATTTCTCATTAATGTACACTAGGCACCCCATCTTGACAGAAAAAAAAACTGAAATATCAAATGCTCATAAGTATTCAGACCCTTCGCTTTGACACTTATATTTCATTCACATGGTCTTCCTTTCTTCTGATCCTTCTTGATATGGTTCTGCTCCTTCTTTTGAGTCTAGCAGGAGTTTAATTGAACTGATTGGAGCTGATTAGGAAAGGCACACACCTGTCTATATAAGACCTTACAGCTCACAATGCATGTCAGGGCAAACAGCGATCATGATGTCGAGGGAACTGCCCAAGGAGCTCTGAGACAGAATTGTGGCAAGGCACAGATCTGACCAAGGTTACAAAAGAATTTCTGCAGCAATCAAGGTCCTTAAAAGCACAGTGGCCTCCATAATCCATAAAATTAAAGGGAAGAAGTTTGGGGCGACCTGAACTCTTCCTACTGTAGATGTTACTGTCCAGGCAAACTGAACAATCGTTGGAGAAGAACCTTGGTGAGAGAGGTAAAGAAGAACCCAAAGATCACTGTGACTGAGCTCAGAAATGCAGTAGGGAGATGGGAGAAAGTTTCACAAAGTCAACTATCACTGCAGCACTCCACTGGTTGCCTCTCCTCAGTGCAAGACATGAAAGCCCGCATAGAGTTTGCCAAAAAACACATGAAGGACTCCCAGACAATGAGAAAGAAGATTCTCTGGTGTTCTGAGACCAAGATTGAACTTTTTGACGTTTATTGTAAGTGCTATGTGTGGAGAAAACCAGACAATGCTCTTCGCCTGCCCTATACATTCCCAACAGTTAGACATGGTGGCAGCATCATGCTATGGGGGTGTTTTTCCAGCTGTAGGGATGGGGCACCTGGCTGCAATGGAAGGAAAGATGAATGGGCCAGGTACAGAGATATCCTGGAAAAAACCTCTTCCAGAGTGCTCAGGACCTCAGACTGGGCCAAGGTTTACCTTCCAATGAAACAATGACCGTAAACACACAGCTAAAATAACATATAAGTGGTTTGGGAACAACTCTGTAACCATTCTTAATTGGCCCAACCAGAGCCCTGACCTAAACCCAATTGAGAGTCTCTGGAGAGACATGAAAATGGCTGTCCAACAACGTTCATCATCCAACCTGACAGAACTGCAGAGGATCTGCAAGGAAGAATGGCAGAGGATCCCTAAATCCAGGTGTGAAAAACTTGTTGCTAGTACACTCACGTACACAACATGTTTCAAAAGGGTGCTTCTACTCAATACTGAGCAAATTGTCTGAATAGTTATGAAAATGGGATATTTCAGTTTTTGTTTTTTAACAAATTTGTAAAAATTTCTACATTTTTTTTCTGTCAAGACGGGGTGCTGAGTGAACATTAATGAGAAATAAAATGAACTTTATTGATTTTAGCAAATGGCTGCAATGAAACAAAGAGTGAAAAATTTAAAGCAGTCTGAATACTTTTCGTACCCATTGTACAAGAAGGCAAGAGCAGATAGTATATTACACCATCAAAGAAGTCCATAGAATTGTTTCATAGAGTTAGAAAAACCCCAACATTTGTAGGCTAGAAAGTGTAGTCCTCTTTTACTTTTTTCATCCAGATGGCCTCAAATTATTGTTGATTAAATATTATACATTTTAGCAGTTATTTTCAAATTAAGTCCTGCTCAATATGAAAACAACACCAACATGAAGAGATAATTAAAGATCATCCATAGTTATTAAATGTTAACATCTGCATAAAGTAAAAAAAATAAAATAAAAACAGTATACCTTTGAAACACTCGAAAAAATGTATAATTTGCAATGTGTCAACATGTTTCATAATATCACCTAACAATGGCTATTTTTAAAAGATTAACAATCATTCAGTCTTTTAGTTATACACAGTTCCTGAAATGACAACATAGTTTATGCAGTAGCTACAGATGATATGGTCTACTGGATTATCAGCAGGGGTGAGCTTCAGTGTTGTCAAGTTCACTTATAAGCAACTTTGGTCTTATTTTTCTCTAAAGTTGTTTGTAGATTTTGTAATTTGCAAGTTTGTTTTTGGGAGTCTGATGGCCTTTTTTGTGGTTGATTATCCCCTGGACTGATATTTAAAAGATCTGATATTAAACGAACCCAAGACCATTGGCTTACTGTACATGTGACTTAAAAAGATCGGGTTTGGGCCACATCTGAGCATTCCCACTTGTTCTAACGAGTCTGATCCGGTGACTTAAAAAATATATTTTTTGCTATAAATTAAATAAAATACCACTTTCCTCAAATATTCTTTATTTTACTTTATTTTT